TTGCAAGCAATAATCTATGAAAAAGATGGTTCCTTGGCAAAACTTTTCTTCAGGTCTATCCAAGGGGACTCCAACCCCTTTACTCTGGCTTCTCCCGAGGGGACTCTAACCTCCCGTGAATTGGCCTTCACTTTGGCTTCTCCCAAGGGGACTCTAACCCCCGGTATACCCTGGCCTCTGCCGAGGGGACTCAAACCCCCCCCACTAAATTGGCCTCTTGTCAGAGGCTCACTGGATTTGGACCGTCTCCACCAATGGCCTCTGCTTCCACCGCAGGCGTCCCTGGGCGGACCTGGCATCGGGCAGACCCACAGCTGTGTGCCCAAGCCTAACCTAGTGCTGTGGTCTTAAACTCTCTCCTTGAAAAAGTTCTGCCTTCTCTCAGCTTGCTACATCTTTCCTGCTTTTGCTGGCTCGCTGCTTTTCTCAGGCTTCTTACCTGCCTTTTACACTTTTTTTTTTCTTTCTGCCTTACCTCTGGACTGCCTTCATTCATTAGCATTTCAAATGACCTCTAGCTGATTTTCTAGTTAGGCTGGGGAAAAGGATTTTCTAGTTAGACTGGGGAGATTTTCTGTCTGGAAATTGATCTGCTTTAGTTTCCCAGAATCTTCACACTATTGGGCTTTCCTCCCATTCCTCCCATAGTGGACTGATGACCCAAGACAAACAAAGGAGGGGTGCCTCTTTGCAGAGACCATCAGGGTGCTCATGCACACACACATTCACACAGAGGTTATCACATTCCTCCCCCTTCCCCCTAGAGATTTCCAAGGGAGCATACCTCCACAGCAGATTTTCCACAGATTACCTCCTTCCTCGTGGATTTCTTCACTGCATCTGTCCCTTCGTGGTCGCCATCTGATGTCGGTGGGCCCCACGGGTGACTTATGTGAAGCGGGGAGGAGAAAGACAGTCACTTTCACCCCATCCGCCTCTGCCACTCGGGACCCAGGGTTGCTGGGTTCTTGTCTCGTCTCGCAGAAAGGAATTTCAGGAGTAGACAAGCAGTGAAGTAAATAGATTTTATTTGGAGGATTTTTTAGGTATGGAGGGAGGGAGAGAGAGTGAGAGAGTAAAGTTAGACACGAAAGCGTGAAAGTACACATCTCAAGAGGGGAGATGCGGGCGACACATGCGCTCGGGAACCACATGTGCTCGGCCACGTGGGCGCAAGCAGCACATGGGCTCGGGCAGCAATTGCGCGCGCTTCCTTTGTTCAAGGTGGCCTTTATAGGGTTCCTCCAACCTGCCCCCACGTGGGGCTTCTTCCCAGGTAAATGTCCCGTTGCTAAGGAGGTTGCCAGGGAGGATGGGAATGGTGATGGTCTTCTTTGAAATTCCTTTCCTGGCCTTTTGTTCCTAGAGGAGCTTCTTTGGGTCTGTTGCTGGAGCCAGGTGAGGGTCTTATCAAGCCTTAGTTCCTGTTTTCCTATTTTCTGCAGGGCTGGCTTTTGTCATTGCCTCGGGAGGGGGCCCTCCCTGTCTACCTGCCTACATCACTTTGATTCATGTACCTATATATTCTATGAAAAATATTTTCTCTAATTTATCCATGTGCAGCAGATACTTCTTTTAGGCAAACCCGGATATCTCCCCTTAAAGCTGTCCTTGAACAGTAGACACAAGGGCCAGGAATATTGCTCCATAGTTGGAAGCCTGTCTCATAAGCTGGGGGAGAAGGCAGCTGGAACAAAGAAGGGATCACTAAGACAATGATGGTTGGAGGAATTGTTTGGGATGGGAGATTGTAGGATAACACTGTTTTGTCATTCCTGCATAGCGTCAGGTAGTTTAGGTTATTGGGTTGCTCCCATCACAGTGTTCTCATTTCCTCTGTGTTTATTGTAACTTCTTTCTTTGTGCTCTATTGACTTCTAAATATTGTTTTTCTCTTCTTCCTAAGTTCTTTGCATATTTATTCGCGAAATGTCCTTTTTGTATGGACACAAGATGACAGTATATGCTATGCTTTTGTAATGTGACTCTCAGTGATATTTTCCTCCTGTGCATCTGTTCTTTCACTTAAGCCTCAGCTGCCCTTACTTCCTAGCACCCCCAAAATCAGGGTCCCGATGAAGGACTGGATGGAACCTGGGCAAGTGGTAAGCTATGTGCTATCCTGGCACCGAGATGGGCCTGGCCAAAGCGCCACAATTCTTAACTATAAGTTAAGAGCTTGGTTATGGACAAATGCTGTCATGATCCAAAAAGTAATAACTAGATTTGGACCCTGCTAGGGTTAGGAATGATTAATTTGGCCTGAGCGCTGTAGTTTGAGTCTGTGGCAAGATGTTCCCAGGAGAGCTGCCCTACAAACCTCAATGTTATCTCTTACTGTGTCCATACAAAAATAACTAGTATTGAGCTGTTGATAGAGTTACTGGACTGAGGAAAGGAGAAAAACACCTTAAGAGGTATTTTGCCTGGGGCAGTCAGGAAGGGCTTTGGAATACCTTTTAGGTAGTGTTCCCTTTGAACTTGGGGGGCCCTCAGGAAGGGCTTTCTTATGTTGATTTGGCCACCTGACGGTGCAGTGTGAGCCCAGAGTGGGGTGGGGTGAGTTGGAGAGATGAGGCTGGAGAGGAGAGAGCTCAGGGCGGCAAGATGGACCGTGGAGAGGCTAGCAAGAGGACAGAGAAAGAAGAGTGTAGAAGAATACAGGAGCAAGCACACGGAGAAAGAGAACTCAAGCGGAGAGATGAGTGGGAGAGACAGAAGGAGACAGGAATGAGGAGCAGTGTGAGACTAGAATGGGAGGCTCAGAGAGACTGGGCCAGGCGCTTGGAGAGAATGGAATAAAAGGCATCTGATCAATCAACTGGCTTGGCCCTTGTCTCCTCCACTGTCTGCTCCATGTCCCGGGCTGCCCCGTCTGGGCAAGCAGACCGGGGCCCACCCCGAACTCAGGCAACTAGGGGAAGAGCCGTTGGGAACTTCCCCTGGCTGCCCTCAAAGATTTTATACAGGAGATGTGTGCTGAAAGTTGATAAAGGACGCGATAACTTCTCAGCATCTGTATTGCAGACCATAATGCCTGAAAGTAGAGAGAGAGTATGGGGGAAATTGTCTGCTATGGAGGCAGGAGAAGGGTATACTGGGGACATTAGTGGTGGAGAATGTGTACTGGTGGAGGGATGGGTATTTGATCATTGTATGAGTGAGACTCAAACATGAAAGCTTGTAACTGTATCTCATGATGATTTAATGCAAAAAATAATAAAAAGTTAAAAAACAAAAAAAGTTGTCCTTGAGATATTTGCTGAACTTTCATGTCTTCTAAATTTGGGTGAAGATATTATTTGAAAACATTTCATCAATCACCTTCCTCCCCAGCCGCAAAGGATTGGCTTCTTGTTAACAACCACACACAAGACAGGATAAATGTACTAAATATTGTGATTACAGGACATGGAATCAGGAGAGATGTTCCCTACATTAATTCAGGGCCCACCAGGGGGTGGTGCTCTTCGAAAGTCACTGCACCTTCACCACCGTTCACAAGGATCACCACTGTCCATAATGTTGATTTGAGTTCACCTCTTCTGCTGCCACACTTCTTGGTAATTCAAATCTGAGGGTTTGCATGTCACTTAGTTCTAAGAGGGAACAAGGGAGAGTGGGGAAGTGATTCAAAGGTCTGGGGCTTTTGCTTTGCATGCATAGTTACAAGTTCAGTTCCAGGGTTCCAAACCAATAATACAGAGGGAAGGGCATTTGCCTTGCATGTGTCCGACCAGGGTTCAACCCCCTAGAATCCCCTATTGTACCCCGTGCACCACCAAAAGTAATTCCTGAGTGTAGAGCCAGGAATAACACCTGCATGCTATTGAGTGTGACCCATATAGCAAAAAAAAATCATGTTCAGTTCCAGGCATGGTATTTTGAGCACCACTGGGTATAGCCCTGGTGGCTCCAGTACTTTTGTGTAGCCCCCCACCCCACCAAATAGAATGCACAACTTACTTTTTTTCCTTGGGGGGCCATACTCGGCGATTCTCAGAGTTTACTCCTGGCTCAATGCTCAGGAATCAGCCTTGGTGGTGCTCAGGGGACCATATGGGATGCCAAGGATCGAACCCAGGTCTGCTGCATGCAAGGCAAGAGCCTTATCCACTGTCCTATTATTATGGCCCCGAATCCAGAACTTTCTATTTGAAACCAAGAGTATAGCACTCTGCATGTTCACACAAATCTTTCCCAGGAGATTTGATCAGAGTCAAAGTTTTATGCAAGCAAACAGAGTATGATTGTGGTTGATAACTCCATAAACATAATTTATATTTCTAGAAAGTATTTTTTCATTTCTTTAGTATGTCTGTGTCATAGCTGTCAAAGACAGATTTTTTTGTTTAGATTTTTTAAAAAAATTACTTATTTATTTTGCTTTTGGGATCACACCCAGCGATGCACAGGGGTTAATCCTGACTCTGCACTCAGGAATTACCCCTGCTGGTGCTCAGGGGACCATATGGGATGCTAGAAATCAAACCTGGGTCGGCTGCGTGCAAGGCAAAACACTGTGCTATTGCTCCAGCCCAAAAGACAGAAGATTTGTGATGGTGATCAAATTCAGGGGGGGTGTTGTGTTTAGGACATATGTCTTATCCCACAATATGCCCCTCTAGACTTGCATCAAAGAAGAGCTAAAATAAAAAATTATTCTGGGGGTCAGAGATATAGTACAGAGGTAGAACACTTGTCTTGCATGCGGCTCACCTGGGTTCGATCCCCAACATCCTCTAGGATCCCCTGAGCACCACCAGGAGCAGTTCCTGAGTTCAGAGCCAGGAGTAACTCCTGAGCATCTCCATGAGTGGCCCAAAAGCAAAATCAACAGAATAAGTTGTGCTATGTTCAGAGAGGAGTATCAAGAGACATGAAACCCAAGTTCCAAAATTATGTGATCAAGAAGTCACATTTACAAATTTCAGAGAGTTGGTTTGGGATCATTTCTAGCCATTTCTAACCATTATAAAAAACAACATGAGTTTCTGAGTCTATACCGATCTACTCAGAAGTTTTTGGAAGGCCCTCTTGATGTCCTTGTTTCTTAGGCTGTAGATGAAGGGGTTCAGCATGGGAACAATCATTGTGTACCCCACTGAGGTAACAGTCACATTCTTGGAAGAATGGAAAACAGTTGAACTGAAGTACATCCCAAGTCCCGTCCCATAAAATAAGCAAACAACAGACAGGTGAGAGCCACAGGTGGAGAAGGCTTTGGACCTCCCCCCTGTGGATGAGACTCTCAAAATGGAACAAACAATTTTCGTGTAAGAGTACAGGATCCCTGTGGCTGGGACAGCCCCAAGGACAGCACCGATAACATACATTAATAAGTAATCGGTGTAGGTGGCCCCACAGGCCAGTCTCATGAGTTGAGGGAGGTCACAGAAGAAATGAGGAACTTCCACGTGGGTGCAGAAAGTCTGTGGTAGGAGAATCATCCAGTGCAGCTGGGCATTCACGAAGCAGAAGGATAAAGATGCCAGGAGCAGCCGGCCACAGAGGTGGGGGTTCATGATGACGGAGTAGTGCAGGGGGTGACAGATGGCCACAAAGCGGTCATACGACATCACCAGGAGAATGACACTGTCCAGAAAGGCAAAAAGGCTGAAAAGAGACAATTGCGACAGGCAGCCTGCATAAGAGATGATTTTGTTTCGAGTGTGAATGTCCCAAATCACCTTTGGGATGGTGGTGGAGGTAAAACCTACATCACTCAGGGACAGGATGGAGAGGAAGAAGTACATAGGCGTGTGGAGGTGTGGGTCAGAGCTAACGATGAGGACGATGAGCAGATTCCCCGTGACAGTGACCAGGTACATGGATAGGAAGAGGCAGAAGAGGAGTGGCTGGATTTGGAGATTATCTGAAAACCCCAGGAGGAGGAATTCCACAGCCCCTGTTACGTTGTCCACGATGCAGAGACACCTGGAAAAATCAATGAGAGTGGTTGAAGGTTTCCACATGTTGAGTGCAGTGACCACGTTGTGGACTTGAGCAATTTACAGACACAGTCATAATCCTTGAGTTTAAGCACTGTTAGTTCTAACTTCTTGGTTGTGACAAACATTTCTCTTTTTTTTTTTTTTTTTATTGAATCACTGTGGGAAAAGTTACAGAGCTTTCGGGCTTAGGTCTCAGTCATGTAGATACCGAACACATTTCCCTTTACCAATACTCATTTTTAACCCCGAACCCCAATAGACCCCCACCTCCCACCCCTCCCAATTCTTATGAGGCAGATGAGTTCTAGTTAATACTCTATCTACTTTGACTAGATAGATTATTTCGATAGAAGATGCACAATTATTGTTTAGAGTTTACGACCCACCCCCCCACCCAATCAGACATGCTGAAACAGCGTTGTGAAATGATTTGCTTTCTACAACTTGGTTTAAGAATAAAATGATGTCGCGCAGCCGCGATAGCGGCCGCGCGGTTTTGAGTTTCTGCTATTTTACTTATTGACCCTGGAAGAATTTCTATTAAAAGTTAGCTAGTTAAGAGATTGTTTTCTGTGCCCTGGAGTCGTGGCCGTGCCGGAGAGCCGCTCGTGGGGGGCAGCTGGCGACCTCGGTGGGGCGTGGGGGACGGCCCACAAAGCCCCCCTTCCCATGAGGTCCCCGCCGCTTCCCCGAGCCCGGCTCAAACCCGCTTTCCACAAGGCTCCCGTGCGGCCGCCATCTTTCTTTCCAGAGAGGAGCGGGCGGGCTGGTCAACGCCCTTCCCCCTCCGGGCAGCTTGGTGGCGCGGATCAACACAAGTCCATTTGCTTTTCTGCTCCAAGCGGCTGGTTCTCTGTGCTAAGTCCTTGTGCCTCCGGGGCCGTGGCCGTGCCGGAGAGCCGCTCGTGGGGGGCAGCTGGCGACCTCGGTGGGGCGTGGGGGACGGCCCACAAAGCCTCCCTTCCCATGAGGTCCCCGCCGCTTCCCCGAGCCCGGCTCAAACCCGCTTTCCACAAGGCTCCCGTGCGGCCGCCATCTTTCTTTCCAGAGAGGAGCGGGCGGGGACAAACATTTCTCTTAGAACTCTCCTGTCATATGCTTTCTGCAGGCATTGATGTTGCCCCACCCAGGTTAAGAAATGTGAGGAACAATGATATTTAAAAATTTCCTAAACCCAATAACAGTGAAATAATTGTCCTCTCCGTAAGGTAGAAAAAGACATTTACAGGTTTTCTTTTAAAGAAAAAAGTGTTTTGATCCAGGTACAGGTCCAGTGGAGGTATTGTCTGAAACCACGTAGCCAGGCTTGGGCAGATCGGGCTTTTAAGTCCAGACCTCTGGGAGACGGGAACCCAGACGGACCGTACCAATAGCAGCTAACTTTCAAGGACCTGCTTAATCTCTCCCTGTCCAGGAACAGGCCTGGTGGTGCTGTCCAGAGTCGTGGCTGCCCTTGCAGCTGCGAGTTATTCTCCCCCTCCATACTCCATAAGGACCATAAATTATCCTCTTAGGTGGAACTTTCACTAAGGCAGCCCGATCACCAGAAAAACATTAGGCCAATAATTCATTAGCTCCACCTCAATTAATATTACACCTAAAACACGACACTAACAGTGAGCATGAACTGCACAGGTCACAATGGTAAAGCAATGCAGAAGCCCACCAAGCTTACTGAAGAAACTAGCCCAGAGACCCAACCAGTAACAAAGCACTAGACAACCTCTGTGACAAGGAATTTAGAAGGGAGCTAAATTGAGGATGCATAGGGAGCTAAAAGAAATAATGGAATGCACTGTCAATAAAATACAAGAGATTTGAGAGTGGAAATGTGGAAAATGCAAATAAACCTACAAATGGAAATGACATTCTGAAAAACCTGGTACGCAAATTACGCACATTAGAAAACTCAGTGGAAGGCCTCAATAGCAGAGTAACAGCTGCTGAGGACAGAATCAGTGAGCTCCAAGATGAAGTGCAGAAAAATCTCCAGACAACAGTAGAAAATGGAAAAGAGCCTCAAAATGAACCAAATGATGTCAAGAGAAAATCGGGATGAAGCCAAGAGGAATAACATAAGAATCATTGGAGTCCCAGAGAGACAGGAAAAAAACTCTGGTGAAGAAGAAAATGTCAAAGACATCATTACTAAGATGTTCCCCGAGCTGATGAGCACATGTGATCAGATTCAGGAGGCCTGAAGGGTACTAGCTAGAAAAAACAGAAATAAAAATACTCCAAGACACATCCTGATCAAAATGATGAAAATCTTAGACAGAGACAAAATTCTGAAAGCAGCAAGATCAAAGAAAGAAATTGCCTATAAAGGAGCATCCTTAAGGTTGATAGCTGACTTATCTGATGAAACCCTCAGGGCCCAAAGACAGTGGCGGTATATAGTGAAAAAACTCAATGAAATAAATGATTCACCAAAAGTACTTTACCCAGCTAGACTCTCATTCATATCAGAAGGAAGAAGACACAGTTTCACAGACAAAAAAACAACTCAGGAACTTCATAGACTCAAAACCATGGTTACACGAACTCAGTGGGCTACTTTAAGACAAGACAAGCCCCTCAAATACATGAAACTTTGACAGACAGAAACTTTGACTGGACAAAACCCCATAACAATAATCTCTGTTAACATCAATGGGTTAAACGCACCAATTAAAACAAACAGAATGGCAGGATGGATCAGAAAATTGAACCCAACATTCTGCTGCCTGCAAGAAACATATCTGGAGTCAGAGCAAACATAGACTCAAAATCAAAGGCTGGAAAACAATTCTACAGGCAAAGAACTCCCTCAAAAAGCCGGGGTGACATTATGGTATCAGACCACGTTGATTTCAGACTAAAGAAGGTTACAAGGGACAGTGAAGGTTATTTATTATTGATCAAGGGATCTGTACATCAGGAAGAAATTATACTCCTAAATGTATAGGCACCTAATGAGGGACCAGCAAAATACTTAAAACAACTCTCATAGACTTGAAAAAAGACATTGATAGCAACACAATACTAGTGGAAGTTTTCAACATTGCTTTATTACCTCTCGATAGATCAACCAGACCCAAGCTTAGCAAGGACATACTTTAGTTGAGGGAAGAAATGAAAGAAAGGGGCTTAGTAGATATATATTTCATCCTCAGAAAGTTGAATACACATTCTTCTCAAGTGTGCATGGGACATTTTCCAAGATAGATCACATGCTGGACAACAAAACACAAAAAATAAACAGAAGCTTACTCAAAAAAGAAGTACAAATGGCTAAAAGGCACATGAAAAAATGCTCTACATTGCTAATCATGAGGAAGATGCAAATCAAAACAACAATGAGTTGTCATCTCACACCATAGAGACTGGCACACATTCAAAAGAACAAAAGTGGGGGTATGGTGCTGCCAGCAGGTCAATCTGTACCTGTGAGGCGAGTGCATCAGCAACCTGATGGCACCTTCAGACTTCCAGATACCCCAAAATTGCTGCTGTGCCTTTGGCCAGACCCCAAAAACTTGGGGCAAATTTTACCAAGAAAGTAAACGGCCATCATACCCCCCCGGGAGGGAAAAGGTGTCGCTCCCTTCTGCTCCCCTATCCCCCCGGCAGCAAGGTGGCTGCCGCCTCAGAGCTTATTGGAAAGCCAGGTATGAGCTGACGGTGATGGGGCAACTGCAACTTCATGGGAAGGGGGCGTTACCGGCTCATCTGTCATGCCCTATGGAGGTCACGGGTTGCCCCCCACAAGCGGCTCTCTGGCAGGCCATGGCTCCAGAGCCACAGAAACCAATCTCGTAATTATCTGGCTCTTGGCAGAAATCCCTCCAGACTTAATAAGTAAAATATCAGAAATCCAAAATCGTGTGGCCGCGATAGTGGCCACATGACATCATATGGTTCTCATAACCAGCTATAGAAAACAAATTATTTCACAATGCCTTTTCTGCAGTTCTGATTGTTGGGTGGAAACTCTAAACAATAATGGTGCATCTTTTTTAGAAATAATGAACGTAATCAAAGCAGATAGAGAGTTAAGTAGAAATCATCTGCCTCACAGGCATTGGGAGGGGGGTATATTGGGGTTCTTGTTGGTGAAAAATAAGTAGTGGTGAAGGGAAAGGTGTTTGATCATTGTATGACTGAGACTTAAACCTGAAAGCTTTGTAACTTTCCCCACAGTGACTCAATAAATTAAAAAAAAAAAAGAAAGTAAACGGCCAAAAGTTAGGTATGTGGGAGACACACCCACAAACCACCTCTGGCTCAGCTATATAATTGGAGGCATGGCCTCTCTGGCTCCTGATCAAACCCAAAATGATCCCAGAGACTCAGAAACAAATCTCGAAACCTAGCGGCTTTTGGCAGAAATGTGTCCAGACCCCGCAGTAGGTTACTATCACCGGGCCACCCCAGGGGGAAAAGGGTGCTGTCCCTCCAGCGGCTTCCCCATGACGGCTTGGTGGCTGCCATCTGCCAGAGGCCATTGGACAGTCAGGTTTGGGCCCACAGTGATGAGACACGTGGGGCTTCACAGGATGGGAGTGGAGCTGGCCTTTTCCTCCCCGTCCCAACAAGACCCCCAAGTCACCGCCCACTAATGGCCTTTCTGGCTTCTGATCAAGCTTAATGGCCATGATTCAAGAGACTCAGGAACATATCTCAGAACCCAGCAGGTTTTGGCAGAAATCCCTCCAGATTTAATTGTTAAAATTTCGGAATTTCAAAATCGTGTGGCCACTACTGCAGCAACGTGACATCATATGTTATTTATAACCAGCAATAGAAAACAAATTGTCTACTTTGCCTTTTCAGCAGATCCTAGTGTTCGGGTAAAATCCCAAATAATAATGGTGGGTCTGGTGTCAAAATATTTAATGTAATCAAAGTAAAATGAGAGTAATGTGGAAATCATCTGCCCCACAGGTAAGGGGAGGGTGTGGGATGAAGGTATATGGGATGAGGGTATACTGGGGGTGGAGAATGGGCACTGGTGAAGGTACGGGTGTTTCATTGTATGA